CCGCTCTCTCTCCTGTCCGCGTCGGCGGGGGGGGGGGGGGAGGGGGGGAATGACTTTTCATTGTTCACAGTTCCTCCTTTTTCAGAGTATTGACTGCGGAGGAGATTGCCCAACACCTTTTAATAACGTCGGCCATATGTACCGAGGCGCGCAATGTGCCGTAACGGCGTACAGCGAGCTTTGTTTATCTGCGTCCGATCTGCCATGTCCTTTTGCAATGAAGTTCAAGCGTGCAATGGGGAATGACCGCATGCTTGAAGGAAATGTGCCATCAGAGAAACGTGGAAGCTGCCGGTGCTGATCTCCCTTTTTTAAAATGCTGGGTGCCTTGCTGTCTTGCTTATCCTCTGGTTTCAGTGAGTTATCATCGCAGATTCAGTATGAAGATCAGCAGTTCTGATTTCGCTGACATTGTACCCAACTCTGGGCAAATGTTGGTGGGGCTCCCCCTGCACTGCAAGGGTTAAATGCTCATTTTGTTTTCTCGGGTACCATTTATAATTGAACTCTTCTTTACCTTTTATCCTTCGCTTCTGTAGGCTTTTTTTCCCCCATCGATGCCACCGGTACCCATAAAGCCGATTCTTTTTGCCGCCCCGTCCCATCGGTCGCACTCATGCATCATCATGTACCATGCCGGAGCAGCAGTCGTTGTATGTGAGAACACCTTAGGAGCCATCCACTACCTGGAACGTCAGAATATAGGAGGAGGGAGGGATAAGGAAATGGCTTTTTGGAGGTACCCTAGACAAAAACAATCGGCACCGTTTCGGCCTGCATCCCTTGATCAGCTGATCGAAGAAACCGGTCGGAAAATCTTCATACGACCAGAGCCAGCAGCCAATGAGCTGCCGGTGTTCTATCAAATGTTGTGACCACGTTGGAATGTGTGAACCGGTGACGCGGTCACGCATTCCAACGTAATCCCGCCCAGTTTGACTGCCCGTTAGGTCAAGCATTCCAACGCTTTGTCAGCTTTTCCGGGGCAGCTCGGGCTCACTGCGCATGTGCGGGAGAACCGATCTGCATTACCCCATCTGCCTGGAACATCTGATAGGTCCCCAAATGTCACTTCTATCCGACTTTGTGAGAAGTGACATTTGAGGACCGATCAGCTGTTCCCGGCAGATGAGGTAATGCAGATTGGTAGAGCCGATCTGCCCCGGGACAGCTGACAAAGCGTTGGAATGCTTGACCTAATGGGCGGTCACACATTCCACCGCTGTCGAACTGGGCGGGATTACGTTGGAACGTGTGACTGCTTCACCGGTCAAGCATTCCAACGTAGACGCAACATTTGATAGAACACCGGCTCTGGTCGGGTATTCAAACAGCGGCCACCGGCTCTACAACGATCACAAGGATGACTGTGTTAGCCACTGTATGATATCACGATCTTTCTCCCTCTAGGTCATTGAATGACTCTCACGTGAAGACTCTGGGTATAAAGATGCTCCCCGGATACAAGGATCCTTATCACGGCCGACCTCTAACACGAGGAGAGATGGGCTGCTTCCTCAGCCACTACAACATCTGGAAGGAGGTAAGG